CAGCAGACAAGTGCATGGCAGGATTTTTACAAAAAAGACTTGCACATTTACAAATACACACTTGGCTTTTGGAAAAGTAACACTGAACTAATTTGAACATGTCAAACTACAGGTGACCGAAAGTATTTAGTAATTATATACTATTTGATCTAAATTGGTAAGAAATGACTCTACTGAAATGTAGGATTCATCATCAAACTTATAAACAAAAAATGGAAAACAGTCCAAGTTACATCCTTCTTACATTCTTTTGTAGAAAGAAAACAAGTTGTGCAAATGTATGCTTCAGGCTTAGAAATCTGTCCTTATACTTAAAACTTTGACTAGTTTTTTTTATCTTTTCAACTCAATGAATAAATGTTAGAACTGTGTCATACTTAGGCTGGTGCCGATATAATGCTAGCCAAACATTACCAATAGTTAAGATATGGAAAATGGCCATTGAATCATAAAGTTCAATTCATTGTTCCTCCCTTCGCATACTTGGAGTTGTCCATGTTTTTCTTAATGAATTAATGCCATACCCATTGCTCAAAAGAATATTTTCAACTGATTTATAACAAGGACATTATCTATGTCCTCCAATCAATTTATAATCTGTTATAAAACTCTATGGAGTGATGTAGAAGAAAAAAATCTAGGCAAGTGAGGTTAAATATTTCTCTCCATCACTTAAATTTTGTGTGTGTGTGTGTGTGTGTGTGTCATTTAATGGGACAGTGATATTTACTATTATTAATTCTATCTCATGATTTTTACAAAGCAGGAAAGAAGTATAGAGTACTACAGCATTAATATTTCTACAGCTGCTATAAAAGCTGCATCTACCTGTCCCTCTGTGTGCATGGATGCAGTGCACTTCACTGGCTGTCCCAGTGCAACTACATGTACATACAACCACATATTTCTGTCTCCTCAGATACATAAAATAAAAAAGCTATAACATATAACTAGAGCATACATTATTCCCTATTAAATGATAATCCATTCATTTATCGCTTTACACTTTCTTTAGCACACCCAGGATTTAGCTGATGATACTTCTCAATTTAGTTATAGCCGAGATACTCTTATGCCGCATGCCTTCAGAGTTCAGAAACAGCTGAATTGTTTCATAGGTTACCACTTTTCAAAAAAGAAAAAATTAAAGTGAAGAAAAATCAAGGGAGATTTTTCAAGATGGAAAGCATAGAAATTTGAGGGCTAATTAACCTATCTAATCTGAACTGGACTCAAACTATTACAGTACTGGATTCATTCCATAGAAACAATGGGTATTTCAATTCCAAACCCCTCTTTTCTTCTCCAAAATGGAAATATCCTATATGTGATATGCCTATATCAATGCTTAAGAAATAAAAGGTTCCTCTTATGTCAAGGGTTGAGTATGTAAATGCCATTTTCTACTACTGCTGAACAATATATTGTAAAGGCAGACACATTTTTTCAATATTCAATGTGCCTATAGATGAATGAATGCTCATATTTACAAAAAATAGTCCAAACACAAGATTATTTTCACAGTACTTCTGAAAGTACAATGCAAACTCTTAAAGAGTTACGCCATGTAACCTTACATTATTTAGCTTTATTTAAAGTTACATAATTCTTATATAAGTTCATAATTTCAAACTCATTAAAGCTCTTTTTGGAGCACAATTACAGGAACACAAAGCAAAGCCTATATTATCAGGCATTGTTGAAAAATGTGTGAATGTATCATCTCTACCTCCTCCAACTCCAACATGGAATGGGAAAGGCTGCAGAGAAATTCTGATCATATAGAGAACTTCAGCTATACCCCCTAAACCCAAATAATTTGCTATGAATGATGTAGTGGTATTTTACATTTGCTGCTAATAGAACAAGGCAAGCTATAAAAACAAAGGAATTAGCATGAAGTACAAATAGTTGAAGGGATCATGCTATAAAGCCTGAATTTCTCTGAAGATTGCTTATATGCCCTCTTGTCCTTCTTGGCTAGATTTTGGAAGTAGTTCACCACTTTCTGCTGAGAGTCAGTGGTTGGCCCAAGGTCACTCAGCTGGCTTTGTACCTAAGCTGAGACTAGAACTTACAGTGTCCTGGTTAGCCTGTGCATTAACCACTATACCAAACTGTCTTTCTTTATGAAAATTAGCTTAAATTTAAACATTTTAATTATAATTGACTTATCCTTTCTTTCCTTTCCTTCTTTGTCTAGTAACTCTTCCCATCACCTAATCTCCAGACAGTTTGCTCCCACCCCTTCTCTTTCTTTCCATTCTTACTGCAGGCATCACTTCATCTTATTCTATATCCATCCTGTTCTATTGTTGGCTTCTGCTGGAAAAAAGGGGAAAACATTTGTGTACTTGAATGATTCTGTATGCAATGGGGGGGTGTATGGACGAGTGAATGTTGGTATATGAAGATGGGGATCAATTAATATTGTGAACAAGGGACCTAAGTTTTACAGGCAATGAGTTTTCATTAGTAGTTATTAGTTCAATCAATATACATTCATATCTTGTCAAACTCCTATTCTCATCTTCTTTTTGGTTAAATACAGTACCAATTAGGATCCTGATCCTACGTGAATTTCAAAGAGTTTAATCTCCCCAGTGTAGCCTAAGAAAAATGTAACTGTGGCTTTATGGTTGTTTGGCCGAATGGGATAAATTCAAAAGCAAATCTGCAAATCTATCTTTTTACAATGTGCTAAATGTGATTGATAGTACGGGGAAAAGTGATTATTTTGGGACACAATATTACATTTCAAAATAGATAGCATTTACAGTGAGAAATGCTCTTCCCAAATTTCATGCAGGTAAACTGAGTGGGTTTTGTGCAAAAGAAGGGGCTGTAGAGTTATTTCAAAACAGTTTGGTGGAATGCTTAACAACTTTATGAATTAAGCTTTAGTGGGCATGGTCAAACACCTTTCTTTGTTCTTTCACTTCAATCTTTCTTTCGTTTTCTATGTTTATTTAATGAGCAATGAGATATGTTTTATTTAATTTTATTCATTAATATTGTCTTCTGAAATATTTTACTAGGGCAAATAATAGATTATATGTCTGTACATCATATAATTTATATTTATATTCATTTAAGGATAAATATGAACGTGGATTTTTCTGTTAATTGCTAACATGTAATGGAAGCTCTCACAGGCGTTTCATGTGATATCATATCTGAAGCAGAATGTTTAAGGAAGGCAATATGTTCAGTTGCAACTTAGTAACTGAACTTTATCAAGTGATAAAATTTCATGAATATCTTATAGCTATAATATCTGATAACAAATTCTAACTTGAGAAATCAGGAGTATAGGGCTCATTCTGAAAGTGTGTTTTGAAGAACATATTGCTAAAAAAAATGTTCTCTCTAAAAACAATGAATTTATGCAGTAATCCCATATCACACTTATTAAACTTCATAGGACTTGTTTGTCACATGTTTGTGCTGCTAGTAAAGTGCTGGTGCCTGGAAAAAAAAGGCGGTAATACACAATATGCCTTTCCCAGTCTCTTCTAAGGGAACTGCCCCTCCCCCAGCCTGGAAATCTGTAATAACTCTTTGATGCACAACTTAGTTCCATCCACCATACCTTCCCTCAAACACACTGCTCACCAGCCAATGCACCTACGTAGTCACATAAATATTTTCCTGTTATATAAACTTCGCTCATGCTCAAGAGCTAGGAAGAAATTGAACCAAAGCAATGGGGTATTTATTTATTTATTTATTAAAAAACCCATCCTTACATATTTGGTATGTTATTAGATAAGTAGTCCTCACATAATTGCCATTTTTTTCAGCAACCGTTCAAAATGATGCTGTCACTGAACAAATGGTAGTTACAGCTCAAACGTTATGGCTGCTGCAGCACACCCACGTGTGATCAAAATTCGGGCACTGGGCAATCACCCACATTTATGACTGCAGGGTGCCTTATCAGCAGTGGGAGGAAGAAGATGGCGAAGGTCAGCTGGGGACAGTGAGGGGTAGGTGGCAGGGGTGGAACGCAAGGCAGCCAAGAGCCCAGATAGGCGAGTGAAGGGAATTGAAGAGGAAATGAGTGCGGCAAGGCAGGAGAAGGGTGAGGTCCTTGCCTAACGCATGCAAATGAGACTGCCAGAACTGCAGTCACTAAGTGGGGTAGCCATGTTATGTTTTGCCTAATGACTGCTTCGCTTACCAATGGAAAGCCCAATCGCAGTTAGCGTTGCTAAGCGAGGATTACCTGTAATTCTTACCTCTGTGTTTTAGTTCCAGAAACGGTTCCTTTCACTTTTTATAATGTATTTCATTTTTTTCTATACGTGAATTTTGAAAAGTAATTATAAGCCATATAGTGGTCCCGTATAACCTACCAAAAGCAACTAAAGGTATATCTATTAAGGGGCTCAAAGTAAGCTCCAATTTGATGTCAACATCGGATTCTCTATGTTAATACCAGGAAAAGGCAATGGAGACATAGTGCCTACAAGTGTTTAGTAACTTTTAAAAAACAGGTGCCAACGTTGCTATTTTAAAAACAAACCCTAATTCTGATAAGTATTAAGACTTATCTTTACTTATCCCACCTACTCCTCAAAGAAAAGCACTGAAAGAATACATTCAGAAACACATTTAGATGTAAAATATGAAGCAAAAATTCACACATTTGCTTCTTCTATGGGAAGGGGTACAATATTATTTGGTGATGGAGAGAAAAAGGCCTCAAGAAAAGTGCTATACAGAAAAACAATTGCGTCTATATTATACAGTACTGAGAATACCAGCAAGGTATATTAAGAATGGCATATGACTGCAACTGAATAGTTAGGAAACAGAATTTTACATCTTCCTTCCTCTCTCCCTCCCTCCCTCTCTCTCTCTCTCTCTCACACACACACACATATTTGTTTTATAAACATGTTTTTAAAAAAATCTGTGAGAATGCCCGTGGATTTGTTTGATCTTGTTATTTTAACTGCTCACCTGATATAGGTCAAAACAGAACAGGTTATATTAATGTTTATATTTCGTTTGCCTTGAGATACAAAGTTGCTTTCACTCTACAATATTAAGCAGACAGTTTTACTGCAACTGAGTAAAATCACAGGCATTATTTTAGAGGAACATGCAGAACATGAAGTTTTCTATTTGGCTCCATGAACTTACAAGCAATAGAGGCCCAACAGAAGCAAAGATTCTTTGCTAATCTTAATCTTCGAAGCTGATCATCGACATCCTTCAAGTGTTCCTGTCAAAGCATCAAGGCTGCTGTCCGTGTCTGAAGCCAATGTTTGTTCTGTTGACATGGATGAAATGTCGTTGACTGATGATGACTGAGAAGGGCTGGTATTGCTGTTCACTGCTGCATCTGTGCTAAGTAAACCAAGCATAAGAAAATCTGAGGCAAGACATGGTTGAAAGCATAGGTGTTTTATGTGGCATAAAGGTATGTGCACTTAAAAACATATGCATGGAAAAACAATGCCAATTTGAAAAATTTCCCTTCGAAGGTAGTCTCTAAGGTAACAAAACCAGACAGAATGTAGGGAAGACACACAATCAATATAGAAACAAATGCAGTTTCAATAAATAATTTTTTGTGAAAGTTTTTTTTTAAAAAAAAAAGAATTTTAAACCAGGTTCGTTTATTTTTGCAAATTATCCATATCCTGTCAAAATTAGCTTTATTTATTTATTTATTTATTTATTTATTTATTTATTTATTGCATTTATATCCCGCCCTTCTCCTTTCGGACTCAGGGCGGCTGACAAATTAGATAAAATACTAACATATATACATATTATGCCTAATTAAAATTTAATTAAAACGAAATATTTGAATATGTCTAATTAAAAGTAATTAAAACCCCTATAAAATCCCCTAGGCCAGTCCCGCTAGCTGGAACAACCACGTCTTGAGGGCGCGGCGGAAGGAAGGGAGATCAGGGATCACCCTGATCTCTGGGGGCAGTTCGTTCCAGAGGGTGGGAGCTCCCACAGAGAAGGCCCTCCCCCTTGGGGTCGCCAGCCGGCACTGCCTGGCCGACGGCACCCTGAGGAGAGCTTTTACTGCCCCTGAGATTATTCCTAGTACTACCATCTTGACAAGGGATGGTATTCACAGTCTTGAATACCTCAGATGTGTCCTTTCACCTGCGCCTTCCCAAACTGTCTCTCCATGTGTCCTCCTCCTAGAAATATAACTAGGAAGAGGGTGCCATCCTTTGATTAGCAGTTTCACGCCATGCAATCGCTGCATATACTGTATAATGCTTATTTATAGTAAATAAAACTAGAAGGGGCAGATTATGTCATGTGCATGATGTGCGGAAAGAACAGCTTTCAATTCTACGAGAATAACAATCCTACTCTACAAGGAATGTTGTCAAACATCCAGTTTCATATTAACAGCTCCATTCTCTATGCTTCATTTTCACAAGGGAAACAAAGAGCTGTAACTACTGTATCTACAGTGTTGCAAGAAAAATCACATTTAGCATCACAGATAGATAATACTTTCCATTATTATTATTATTATTATTATTATTATTAT